TTTTTGAAAGAAAGGAAAAAGACGTTTGCTGCTCAGATGTTTCATAGAAAAGAAACAGAATAAACATACACATCTAAAAAATTAGGACTGAATAAAAAATCCAGAGATCTGGACAAAAACTAACCAGAGAGTTCAATTCCCACACCTTAGATTTAATTAGAGTGCAATTTTAGGGGCTGTATTCATTGTGGAGCTCTGAACTGCCTGAACTTTGGGGTCCCTACTCTCATCTTCTGAAATCAAAGACCAGAGAGAGCTGGAAGTATGTTTGCTAATGACGGCTTCTCTCAGAGTAAATGTTGAGAAATCTTTGCAGGATCTTCAATCAGACAGACAGAGGTGACAGGACCTAGTATCTCAAGTTCACAAGATCATGAGATGATAACTCACAGTCAAGACCCAAGGCCAGGGTTGCCAACTCAAGTATCTACTGAGGCTAAAAAGTTCCTTTTCATAAAAGATGCCAAAATCTCTATTTTTATAAGAAATCACCTGATAGTAAACCATTGATTCTTTTTTTTTTTTCACTAAGAATATCTGGAAGCAGGATTTGGCTTGTGATCACCAGTTTACTAATTACGGTCTGAGGTTTAAATTTTTAAAAATATATCTATGATATGCTCAGAGGCAAAAGGATAATGGTTACAAACACGTTGTGCCAAGTACTCTGTAAGCACTGAACTTATCTTACAGGCTTCTTACAAGAGCCCTAAGAGGTAGCTAGCATTGTTTGCCCATTTTCACAAATGTGGACACTAAGTGACACACAGGCTGAGATACTTGACCAAGTTATACAACTAGTTCCGAGTCTGTACACTTCACCGAACTGTGGTACAACATCTGACTTAGAATCTCAAGTTACATGCAGTCATATTTTCAAATTACCCTCTTCTATTCATCTTCCTTAGTAAGTGTTTAAGGAGAGTGCCTGAAAGAACACTACCACTAACCCTGCTAACGTTAGCAGTAGTTCTGCTAACGGTGGAATTAAGCTCCTGTGTCCTCGATTCCCAGTAAGACGGGACTGGGTGCCGAGATCACAGTCCTAGATAGAAAAGATCTGGATTTGAGGTCTACTCTGCTTTTTTCCTAGCTTCGTGAGTTATGCAAGTCTTTTAACCCTTCTTCCCACTTCATCGCCTGTTTGTCTGGCAAGTCAGTGAGGTTAGTCTTTCTCCTCCGATCCTGCAGGTAAGAAACTGAAGCTCAACGCAACTGACATCAGTGCCTGGTTGCACCAGTCCTCAGTACGTGGGGGCCAGCGGCTCCTCCGCGACCTCATGCAGATCACGTGCCTCTGAAAGCAAATCATCAACCCCGTTTTACACGCTGGAAAAAGCAAACTCAGAGACCTCATGAGGACCAAAGAAAATGTACCCATGATAACTGTCTTAGAGTCATCTGCAGATACACCGACTGTTCGACTGTTTTCATTATCCTTATTTATTAGCCTTTTTTTTTCTTTTCTCACCTCGAAGGAAAGAACCATCCACCAAAGGAAGGGGGCTTGCTATGATGAAACTTTCCTGACACTCAAGCAAGTGTTTTCTCCTACATCACTCTGCCTCCTAGGCCAGTGGGTCTACGTGATGAGTATCTTCAATGGACAATCCAAACGGCAGACAGAGACAAATTGTAAAAATGTAAAATGTATTCCTCCTACATTCCTATGCATTCAGGACAGCCATGTACCAGTGAGAGGTCAGCATTGAACGTGAAAATAAACACATTCTCTTGGACACCCATTGGGTTTCTGCGCTCTTCCCCCAAAGGGAGGTGCTGTCTTTTTCCCTTTGTACTTTGAAATTTAACCTATCAGGAAACAAACATGAACTAGAAGGATTGGAGTTAAGTAGCTCAAATTGGGGTCATCACTCTAAATTCAGCAAGAGGCACCAAGAACTGAAGAAACAGAAGGGACTTACTTCAAAGACCAGCGTCTCATTGGTGGGTCCCGGCGCGGACAGGCGTTCAGGGCGGTTGAAGGCGCGCTGGTACTCAAACACGGTCCCCGCGAAGGCGAACTCCCCTGGCCAGTCAATGCTCCAGCCCCCCGTGAGGTAATACTTTTGACCGAGGCTTCGGACGGCGAGGTAACTGGAGGACAGCTGCAGTTCCTGGACTTCGATGCTGCGAGCACCCGCTGGGATGGTGACAACCGGATAATATTCTAAATGGAAACAATAGGACATTTCTGTTGTCCACACCACGCCTTGGAGACAGGCTCAGAGACAGGTAGTGGCTATTTTTAAAGAGTGGAGTTTTGAATCACAAACTCATATTTATTTCTATTCTTATGAAGTAAAAACAATCAATGATTTCATTTTTCAAGAGGTAGGAACACCACAGAGAGAAAATGTCTGTACTTTTCTCAAGCACATGTGTGTGGACAGGAAACACTCTCTCCTTTCCGGAACAACAAAAGCTATGACACTCAAGAATGCTTTTTATTTTTAATCTATTTGGAAGAAACCTGGAGTTATCTATCCTTAACAGTGATATGCAGAAGGCAGGGTTTAAAGTTCAATTCTACTCAAGATGGTTAGATAATCACTTCAAATACTCATCCAATGTCGAGCGTGGACCACCAAAGTTCCATAATACGTTCTTTGTTTAACAAATGCATGTGAGGCACATGGCAGACCTGTCAGCGTACTCAAACTGTTCAGTACAAAGGCGTTCATGGAACACATCTCTGGGATGTATGTATTGGTGCAACTGTTCACACTAAAAACCCATCTATCCTCCCATGCTGTCACATAAGCATCAAAAGCCATCACCTTCTGTGCGTCAGGGCAGCTAGTAAAGGGCACAGCTGTGTTTAGCACGACTCAAACTTGTTCAGCAGCAAAGGGTGTGTCCCACTAGTGCCAGCAATGAATTTGCAGTATCTCTTACCATTTGCTTTATGCTGGTTGAGGTACAGGCCTTTATAAAACTTGCAAGTTGAATTATCACCTTTGCAAACACCACATGCATCAGCAACTGCTTTAGAGCCAAGTTCATGATCACATCCCACTGGCTATGACAAAAAAAAAAAAAAGGTGAGAAAATCAAAGATCAGAGAAGTGGGCAGCTTAGAATAACCAAGATGTACGCGGTTTCCCATATTTATAGAACATTAGGAAGGTAGGGCAACTTTATGGTCAAAAGCAGAGTCTCGAGTCTGACTGACAAGGGGTTCAAATCGTTCCTATGCCGTGACTAGACGTATGATTAGGTAACTCACATAACTTATCCAAGGCTTAGAGCTTTCATCTGTAAAACTGGAATGAAAAGTGACTGTTGCTACTAATGGCAGGTGGACTTATTCAGGCGAGCTCTACCACTGAAACATAAAAATGTTGGACCACACACACACACACACACACACACA